CTACAAAGTCGCCAGTTCTCATCTTCCAGCTCCCCAGAGACTCCGCGCGCTCAAGTTGTACTACAAAGTCGCCAGTTCTCAGCTTCCAGCTCCACAGATTGCTCCGCGTACTGAAGTAGCACTAGAAAGTCGCCAGTGCCTGCATTTCGCGCACTCGACACGCACGATCTCCGCAGAGGGTTGCGCGCGCACCGGACAAATCGCACTCTCACCTGCATTTCGCGCACTCGACACGCACGATCTCCGCAGAGGGTTGCGCGGGCACCCGGCGAATCGCGCTCTCGCCTGCATTTCGCGCACTCGACACGCACGATCTCCGCAGAGGGTTGCGCGCGCACCCGGCAAATCGCACTCTCGCCTGCATTTCGCGCACTCGACACGCACGATCTCCGCAGAGGGTTGCGCGCGCAGCCGGCAAATCGCACTCTCGCCTGCATTTCGCGCACTCGACGCGCACGATCTCCGCAGAGGGTTGCACTTTCGGTTGACGCTGTTCGTCCCGCCCTCCGCCTTTAAGAGAGAATTTATAAAGTGGGGAAATGTTTTTTCATTAGGACATCTCCCGTGCTAGTTTTCCATACTCACACTTGCCTACTCATTGCACGCTTGCATGCTCAAAGCATGCTTGCGTACCCATCACTTGTATACTTACACTGCGCGCTTGCCGAGTGTCAGTGTGTCTGTGTAAGTGTCAATGTCGAAGTGTCAGTGTATGTAGTGCGAATGTGGTGGAAGTGTCAGTGTGTAAGTGTAAGTGTCGAAGTGTCAGTGTTCAAGGGATTTTCCGGAAGAACCCTTCGCAATGCTTTCGGGAACAAGATACTTTCTTGGCAGAGATCTGTTTGATCCAACACCATATTTACAGCTGCAAGAAAATAGGCGTACACAAATTGTATAGAAGTCCAAACCGTCAATCATAGAATGTCAGAGATCTTGCCTTTATATATATATATGTATATACACACATATATGTCAGCCCATACTACCAGGACCGGTACAAACGTAATGAAACTATGAACAAACAGGGGGCATTAAGCCGCCAGAGAGACCAGATTGCCCAAAAACATCCACAATTCAACCCACCACCAGACACAAATGCTAAGAGATAGGGGAATCCATCCAAAGACAGGTTTATTTAGCGGAAAGGGGGTGGGGCCCAAGCTGTAATCTTCCACGGTGATCCATCCAAAGCATGTCCATACATGTCTCCAAGCCACTCGCAATGTAGGTTGGGGGAGGTGATTTTGTATATTTGCGTTTAAGGTTAGTTTTTCAAAACATAGTCCCACAGGGGGTAGGATTACCATGTTATATCTATAAAATGGGTAGCAGTAAGACCCCCTAGCAGAATTGCCATGGGTATGGGATTGGCATGTGAGCGGGTGTTGTTTGGAGGGGCTGGAATCGCAAAACTGCTTGGCAGGGCTGCGTGATGTGTGTGCTCCGATGGATGTTCCCGCTTGACTTTTGGAGGAAGTCTCGTACGAAACGCTCGCTTTGCAGACTTTGACATGTGAGTTTTTGAGGAAGTCTCGTACGAAACGCTCATTTTGGAGACTTTACGTGTGACTGTTGGAGGAAGTCTCGTACGAAACGCTTGTAGTGTGTGGGCAGATCGTGTGGCGACACGACGTTCGTGATGTCGCAGTGCCACCGTGCCACTGGGGAGCGCGAAACACGCTGGTGTAAACGCGGTGTGTCGCTGGTGAGCGGGATGATTAGTGGTGCTTGTATCATGTGATATGTTTGCTTCTAGTGTGTGGGTAGACCATGTGGCGAAATTACTTTCGCGATGTCGCAGTGCCATGCGGATTTGCCTTGGCAGGTGTGTGGGCAGACCGCGCGGCAAAATTTCGTTCGTGATGTCGCAGTGCCATTGGGATTTGCGCAGCCTTGGTGGGAAGTGTGTTTGCGCGGCGTCGTGCCACCGGGAAGCGCGAAGCATGCTGGTGTAAACGCGGCGTGTCGCTG